TTACAGAAGGAAAAAAGTCTGGTGTATTAGCAAGTGTATCCATCCATTATGGAGCAAAGATTTTATGGGGCTTATACTATTATTCTTGGTATCATCATCCATCACTGTGAGGTCAATGAATCCACAGTGCCAAAATACATTTTTGATTAATTATGATATTTCAGATGTATACAACTGCCAGTTATTGGATGAAGTGCACTAATTTCCCTGTACATCTGTGCCTTGAATCTTCTGTATATCTGTGACTCTGTCCATAACTCTTGTTGGGTGACAAAACCTAAATACAGTCAATAAAGTCTATTGACAGGCTTCTATTAAGTTTATTCTGGAACTGTTAAAAAATATGGCTCTATTTCTTCATGACACCTCCAAGTCTGAAAGTACCGATGCAGGGGCAGAAGTGGGCCATGGGCCCCAGGCACCAGCCTGGGGCATGGGGGGGCCACTGGCCAGGCCCTTCAGACTTCTCATTGTGTGATGTGACTTTAAGTATTGCTACTAGAAGGACAGGGGGGGCAAATGTAAGCATTTGCCCCCAGGCACAAGAGACCCATGGTACGTCACTGTGCTCATCCCTCCTGCCTTTGCCCTGTCCCCATTCACCACTTGTCACATCAGGTGCAGCATTAAGTTCTGAGCTCCTTGAGTCAAGGGAGTAGATCTTTATGCCTGCTCCTTAAAGACTTTAATGCTTTTATGAGTGCTGTGGAAAAATGAGTCATTAATAATAACCTATAATTTACCACCACAGGGATTAAAACCGGCTGAAACATCCACCTGTACATGGTAAGAATCCAAGAGAAGCTGATTAGCCTCTGGCCTGAGCCCCAGTTCTGTATAGACAAGGTAAATGGTGAGTAGTAGGTTTCAGCCATCAGCAGTTCCCACCCCAGTGCCACACGCTGAAAAGCACAGACTGAGATCTAGACAGGTCCTGAGGCCTTGGGATCTATAGTGATCTCCTCTTCTATTTAAGTCATGGAAGGAGTGTGGCTAGTGGACACTGGACACATTGGCTACACTGTTAGGCCTGACGTTGAAAGGTCTGTACATCACCTGCCCAGGACTCAGAACTGAATCAAATATTCCCAGAAGACTACCCTTGCAGAGGTCCTGTCAGTAACCAGTTATCATGTAAAGCCTCAGGGAGTTGCTATCCAGAGTCTTGCTTGCAAATTAGCTTCCTACTAACAAGGAGCAGAGTCATGCTTTTGGCTTCCTCTTTCTCCATGCAGTTAGCAAGCAGTTACAAGCAAAGAAAGAGCCAGGTAGTCTGTCTCCAATATTATGCAATCTAGTAAAACAGTTCACCTGCAAACACTGTTTACATAGACAGTTACTAACTTATGTACTTCAGTTTAAGGAATTTAGCAATAATCCACTCAATGCCACATTAGCAAACAATTATTCTTGTCTACCACCATGCAGAAAAAATGATGTTTGCTTTGCACCCTGTTAAGTGTTAGCCCTAAGGCAATATAATGGGACTGGTGAAACCATTTTTAGACAAGATGCTTGTTAGAGTGGTTACAAGTAATGCACCCAGGAATGCCAGTCAAGTGAAAAAAAGGAATTTATATGATTCATGTGATCTGTTACTCTGCATGCCTTATTATATATAAGGATGTGGAGAAGCTTGAGAGAGTCCAGAGGAGAGCCATGCACATGATCAGAGGGCAGGAGAATAGGCCTTATGTCGAGAGGCTGAGAGCCATGGGACTTTTCAGCCTGGAAAAGCACAGGCTCAGGGGGGACTTGGTGACAGCCTATAAGTATATAAGGGGTGTACATCAGGATCTGGGGGAATGCCTATTCACCAGAGCGCCTCAAGGGATGACAAGGTCAAACAGTCACAAACTCCTCCAAGACTGTTTCAGGCTGGACCTAAGGAAGAACTTTACTGTCTAAGCCCCCAAGGCCTGGAACAACTCCCTCCAGAGGTGGTGCAAGCACCTACTCTGGACTCCTTTAAGAAACATTTGGACGTTTATCTTGCTGGGATCCTTCGACCCCAGCTGACTTCCTGCCCCTGGGGCAGGGGGCTGGACTCAATGATCTCCTGAGGTCCCTTCCAGCCCTAATATCTATGAAATCTATGAAATCTATGAATTTCTAAATTTATAGCAGCTAACTCAGAAGTTCAGTGGAATATACCTACAGAGGTAGGTTTGGAGCTGTCCCACCTGCTCTGATGAATATAATGATGACTATATGCAAATTGTGAAACAAAGAGCTCTCTAGATGGAATGCAAGAGTACACTTTCCATCATGCAAGAACAGAATACCTAATGCCAGGCATCTAGAAGCCAGAGCTACTCAGTGGGTGCATTCACATGTGTGCTTTACTGCAGAGTTAACTAATTAGCTCCACAGTAAAGCATCACTGTCTACAGGTTCGCCAGTATTAGGGCACAATAAACTTTATAAATTCTGCCATAAGACAGTACTGTCAGGGACAGTACTATCTTACAGCAAAGTCATTAAGTGTGATCAAAAGCATGTGCAGATGATGACCACTGGGCGCAAATTGCACTTGGTCATCCCAGCCAGCCAGGAGCCGGACCTCCAACTCCGGCCAGCCCCTTTGCCACCCGGCGCTGCCACCTGGAGCCCAGGGCTAACCCTCCATACCCCCTGCCACTGTGGGGCTGCTCTGCTCTGGCTCAAATTGCTGCTGTCCCAGGTGCACATGTAAACACTGCACCTGGGAGCAGTGTACCCCAACTCAAACGTCTCCAGAGTTTATACTGTGTAACATTAATTGCACATGTAGATGCACCCAGTGAAATTAACACAGGCCCAAATCTGTACTTCTAATGATTTCTGAGTAACCCAAATGAAAGTAGCAGTCCTACTGAAGTCAATGATATACCCCCACATGTGAGCAACAGCTACAGAACTGGGGCCAGGATTCTTGGCAGTAACTGGCACTTCGATAAGCTGTTCCATTTATTTGCACTGAAACACCATCTCAACCCACAGCCTCCAATGTAAATCCTATTCAACCATTTCCAGGTATCTTAACAATAGGAGGAGGGGGAGGAAAAAAACATTGTTCAAGTTTATTTTTGCTGTATCTGAGACTGTCCCTTTTGCACTCGGCTTCAGAACAAATCCATCTTGTGGCTGTCCATGAATGACATTTGGGTATCCTGATTACCTAACACCAAGGGTTGGAGAGGGTTTGCATCAGACCTTGAAAATAACTACAACAAGGCTCCATTTTGCATGAATAAGAAAAGCTTTATTCAATGATTTCAGAGTGCAATACAGCACCTGAACAAGGTAAAGAATAATGTGAGAAATAGCAAAAAGAAGGAATATGAAAACTGAGCTGCAGTGCCTCCTGTGACCCCATCAGACACAACCTCAGTAACTGTTTATCTCATTGAATCTTTTTCTTGGTAGTATCTGAAAGTCTCAGGCCTCTGGACTGGGGGGTCACAGAGCTGCCTGTCCTCTTAGCGCGTGGTTTGGTGGACCTGCTCACGAGAAGAGACCACCTTTCCATCTTGGACCTCTTCAACAATTGTGCGGACTTGACGAGTAGACGATACTATGAAGAAGAGAAAATAGAATTCATTTTTTACATAGGAAGGAGAAAAGTTGCCTGATGCATTATCTCATCTACTGTGACAAGAAGAAAGATTGTGTATCAATGCTCCCTGAACAGCTTGAATATACTGCTTCAAACGGTCCCAGGTTGGTTGAGGAGGAAAGGAAAAAAAATCTAACCACAAGACTCAGTCTGTTTAAAGACCCAGATGGGGAAAGATGAACCAGAATCTCAACCTGGATTCATGGAAAGGTTCACAGAAGTTTGCAAACCTTTCAGGTGGAGGTTGACCAAGTCGCATGCAACTCTGAGCTCAAATTTATCCATCTCCCCAGAGTCCAGTGATGAACTTAGGATTGCCCCAAAACAAGACTAAACAGGGAAGCCATTTGAATTGTTATGTAGAATCTGATTTTTCAAGTTTTTCTAAAACCAGAGCTTAAACAAAAAAATCAAGGTACAATTGAACACTTATGACCAGAGTATGTTACTAAAGTAAGAATCTCCTCTTTTGTCCTTTGAAGCAAAAGCAATACATTTCATACAGCACTTTGAGAACTCAGTTACAATGCCCATTTTGCCCAAGTTTTTTTCTGTTTGAACATTAATTTTTAGCATTTTCTATTCCTGTCCCTCCAATGACCAATATCCACCACACATGATATTTTCCTAATTAACTATTCACACAATTTCTTAAGCAATTAGCTTGAACTCCGCAGCAAAAGGTCTAATAATGCTACCTCTAGCAACTGCAACTATAGTATTATATGTATAGGAGGGTGTTTTGGAAAGAAACAGCAATTTTTAAATGAAACCATTCTGTGCGCCATGATCTTTTACTAGACCACATCACTTCTCTACATAGTCATAAACAATGGGTATATTCAACAATGCAGACATCAGTGTTCCCCACTTCTGTGTAGTTTCCCACCCATTGCACACAAAATGGTTTTATTTCAAAATTGCCTTTTCTTTCTGAAACACCCTCGTACAAGATATCTTCCTGAATGTTACTCAGCTAGTTGTTCCTTCATTAATATTGTTGATGTTCATCCAATGCTGTAAGAATCTCTGTTGCAAAGACCCACTTAAATTTTGTGACTGTTTTAGTGTGTCTGGGATGCTCACAAGTTGTGGTGACTGCAGTCATTACCATGTGATGACCAAATATTTCTGAGGCATGGTTCCACACCACAGGTCAGTTTGGCATGAACCATAAAAATGACACACTCTGTAAAGTTGATTGTTATAGTCACAAGTGCATAGTACATCAAATAAGGCATATCCTTACCATCTCTACCAGAATGTGAGGACAGACCTGAGGAGTACAGGGCAGGAATGCTGCAAAAGGAAAAAAAAAGGGATGGAAAATTAGAAACATGAATATTTCTTCCAGATTACATTGGGGGAGGAGAGTCAGTAAAGTCACAACAGATGTTTAAAAAAAACCTTATACCCCAAACCAGGGAAATCATTATTTTAGAAGAGTATCTGACAATATTTGTTCTGAGATTGTTTTTCACTGCTTGCAACAAGCTAATGGATTCTCCCTGACATACACCAGTATCCTAACAGCAAGAGGAAAAACCTTTGCAGAAAGGTCTGAGCATCACTAAGTTCACCAATACACATAAATTCCACCCCTCCCCACAGTCCCTCCCAGTGCTCAAGTGAGGCAGACCTTTGTGGCCTAGGCCTTTTTACAAACGGGAAAAATAAGAATGAAATTCAGGGTTTAAGCTTACACAGTGTGCTAGCATCACAACTAAGGCAAAAAAACCCCAACCTTCTTATTCTCAGGTCTTGGCTCTAACCACTCAAACTACAGTGCCAGCCATTACGTAGTGCAGACAATAAATACATCCTCTTACAAAGGATGCTAATAGGAGATAGGTCATTGTTCGATCCCTTCTTGGTTTAATCAACTGCTCATGATCCACAGGTAATTATTTCAAAGAGAGCCTTCTAGGGAACACAGTGAGTTCAGAGGCTTCTCCCTGCCCCATGTCATTCTATCCAGTCAACTCCATTCACGTACTGGG